CTAGAACAGATATACACGCAACACCTGAGCCAAAATTCCACCTACTCTTGTAATCAATGAATTTGTAGCCAGTTTTAATCCAGATAATTGTTTGCTGGATTGTTTAGTTTATCACATCTTACTTTAGTCACTGCCTAGGGAGGGTGGAGCTGTAACTGGACCACAACTATCTGTCTCACAGACAATGAAGTTTTCCACTGGGGTTGAAATTAAAAGACCTCCCTGGCATGCAAGCCCAAGCGGTGTCTATGGAGGTCCTGGATTACCCAGATGACAAGGCCCCCTCCCACACACTTCAGCATCACTGATGTGGTCCAAAGAAAAGCAGAGCATGAAGGTACATTCTTTCACCTTTGGTGGACGTGCCCAAGGATCAAGGCTTTCTGGGAGATGATTTATAATGAAATGAAAAGGGTATTTAAATATACCTTCCTGAAGAAACCAGAGGCCTTTCTCCTGGGCATGGTCGGCCAAATGGTGCCAAAGAAGGACAGAACTTTTTTTATGTATGCCACAACAGCAGCAAGAATACTTATTGCAAAGTATTGGAAGACACAAGATCTACCCACCCTGGAAGAATGGCAGATGAAGGTGATGGACTACATGGAATTGGCGGAAATGACTGGCAGAATCCGAGACCAGGGAGAAGAGTCGGTGGAAGAAGATTGGAAGAAATTTAAAGACTATTTACAGGAATATTGCAAAATTAATGAATGTTAGAATGATGTCAGAATGAAGTTAAGTGGTTTAAGCAGCAATGTTATAAAGGGGTATGTAAAAATGGATTGTTAACAGGTGAGAATCCAAAGTTATAATATATTATGTTAAAGGACTAAGATAAAAACAAAGAGGGAAAGAAATTGCTGAATTAACTAACTGAATTGGAATACAAAGAAGGGAGGTGTGAGGAGGTCAGGGAAACAAGGAAATGAATGTAAGGTATGGAAAGACCGATGTATTTTTTAAAGTGTTTTTAATCTCTTTTTTTGTATTTTGTATTTTTTCTTTTATTTTTTCTTTTGTTTTTCTTTTCTTCCTTTTTTCCCTTTTTTCTAATTTTTGTAATTCTTTTCTCTGAAACCTTAATAAATATCATTTAAAAAACAACAACAACAAAGAAAAGCAGAGCATTACTTTTAGCACCAGCTTGGGTGAAGGAGTTGCAGGAAGGAGGCATGCAAGGTGACATAAAACCATTTTAGGGACTCCACTCCAGCTTCGTGTAGGCTTTACTCCTTAGTCTTTTCTTCTCTCAGAGATCTCCCACAAGACAGTGCAGACATAGGATCAGAGGTTTCCTTCTCCTAGATGGGCGGCATTCCCAGTTTAACAAGCCGCATCTGCTGCTCACCTCCCTCTACAGCATGAGCAGAAACAGCCTTTTTGACCATTGGAGTCGCTGCTCAATCCACCAGAGCCTGTCTTTGCCTGCAGGGTAAGTCCCTAACTCATCAGTGGTTTGAAACCCATCAGCTACCCTCACCTGGTTTAGCTGGCCAGTCGAAACCATTCCCAGGGTGTGGCTGCTGTCACATACTCACAGCTTCTAGGAGCCACAGGCAAGAGCTGAGTGTAGGGTGGCAAACAATGGTAGAACAACTATACCAGAAGGAGCATGATATGTCCCCCCACCAGAGGTACTACCCCTCCCCCAACACCCCATATTTCAGACCAATTCCCTATCATCACCACCATCATCACCCTACACATCTGACTGGGTTGACCAAGCCACTCTGGGTTGCTACCAACATATATAAAAACATAATAAAACATCAAACATAAGAAGTTTCACTATGCAGGGCTGCCTTCAGATATTTTCTAAAGGTTATACAGCGATAGAGAAATTAAGTGAATTTTCTTTTAACCACTCAATATACCTAAACAAATGCCATTTCCAACCCCCCCCCCCGACTGCAACTGACTGAATTTTTGCAAGGCACCCTACTCTGAAGAGGCTGGGTTAAGGCCTAACATCCTTTCGTTTCAAGACAGGGGGACTTGCATAACAAAGTGGAAAGAAATGAACTGGTATCTGAAATGAACACTGCAAGATGAGAGAATTTGTGATCTTCTTATTAGTGCTGTTATCCCAAGCTGAACACAAGATTCCTATTGTCCCATGTTCTATAGGCTGAGATGAAAACCATTTCACAGAGAAGATAAATTCAGAGAAGCTGGATTTTATGTGGCATTTGTAGGTGAATAATGCCAGTGGGAAATAAATGTTGCTCAATTGATTTGAAGCCTCAGCTTGAAATTCATTTTCTGGAAAAAGCTGGATGTGGCTGTGTATCTTCACATGAATGATGTTTAAATTATTTTAAAATGTTCATAACATTCTACCATGTTATACAGGCTTTTTCATCTACATTCTGTGATCAGCATCCTTCCTTTATTACATATTAATAGATATATATTTATAATATAATTTTCACACAAATATGTAAAGTATAGCTTCAGCAGAACTTACATGTTTCACACAGATGATGTCTCCCCATGAAGGGATATACCTTTAGCACCCTATGAATGGAAGATCAGTGTATTGACAGGATAACAAAGTGACAGAACAACTTTATGGGGTTAAAAATTGGTCTCAGCTTTATTTATTACAGATGTAGATTGGCCTTGGCGTACATCTCGCATTTCTTGAGGTCGGAAGCTTCTGCCAGGATGAAGTCAATGCTTTTTCTGTTGACCAAGTCATTCTCTTCATCTCTCGCTCAACTTATGCTATAAAGGTATTCCAGTGCATATCCCACTGGCCCATCCAGGTGAGGCATGCTCTGTCTTCCAGACCTAGCTGCAGACCCAATGTCATAGATGCAGCATGAGGATGGGCACAGGGCACACTGCTGTGTCCTAATCACCAGATGTGTCTGCGATTGATAGCTGAGATGAAAACCATTACACAGAGAGTATAAATTCAGAGATTCTGGGTCTTCTGTTGCATTAATAGGTGGATAAGCACCAGCAGGAAATAAATATCAAAAAATTGTTTTGAAGTCCCACTTGGAAATGTGACAAATTCATATTCTGAAGCAAGCTGGATGTGGTTGTGTATCTTCATGTAATGTTCATACTGTTCTGCCATGTTATACAGGCTTTTTCAGCAACATTCTCTGATAAGCAGCCTTCCTTGATTACATATGAATAGATATACTGTACGTATAATACAGTTTTCATATAAATACATAAAGTATAGTCTCAGCAGCAGTTACATGTTTCACGCTGATTTCCCCACTAAAATTTCAACCATGTGTATAACTATTATCTTTAGGACTGCTTCATAAAATAATGTTATCTTACTGCTATTCATAAGTATAGCGACTGACAGATCAGATGATTTCTGGATTATTCTACAGCCATTCATTACATTGAACCATGGTGTGAGGAACATGAGAAATTCTATTAGGTGACAGAGAGAAGGCAGAACTACTAAAAACCTACTTTGCTTCTATCTTCACCCAAAAGGAAAGCAGTGTCCAACCTGGAGAATAAATGATTCTAGATTCAGGTAGGTAACTGTGTTGGTCTGATGCAGTCAAAATAAATAAATAAAAATGTTCATTAGCACCTTAGAGACCAACTAAGTTTGTTCTGGGTATAAGCTTTTGTGTATCTGAAGAAGTGTGCATGCACACGAGAGTTTATACCCAGAACAAGCTTAGTTGGTCTCTAAGGTGCTACTGGACAATTTTTTTTATTTAAAATAAATGATGTAAGGATGGAGATGTAGCCCAAGATAGGAAAAGAGGAGGTAAGGGAACAGCTAACAATTTTAAATAAATTCAGATCTCCAAGACCTGATGAGCAGCATCCAAAACCACAAAGGCTCCTAGAACAGATAATTCAATTGCCAGTCTGTGAGCTCTTAAAAAGCATGCTGTGATTACCAAGACCCAGCGTGGGTATCTCAAAAATAATTTTTTTTGGATGGAGTTACATGCTTGGTGGATCAGGGGAATGCTGTGGACATAGTGTATCTTGATTTCAGTAAGGCTTTGGACAAAGTCCCCTAATCTTTTTTCTGAGGAAAAAGCCACTCTGGGTGGCTTCCAGCATATATGAAAACATAATAAAACATCCAACGTTAAAAAGTTTCCCTATACAGGGCTGCCTTCAGATGTCTTCTAAAGGTGATACAGGGACACTACGAGATATTATGCAAATCTTCTTTTTACCACTCAATATACATAAACTCAAAATACATAAATACATAAAAGGTGCCATTTCCAGAAAGCGACTGCAACTAACTGGATTTATGCAAGGCACCCTACTCTGAAGAGGCTGGGCTAAGACTGGCCTGAACTGCTGCTCTTGTAAAAGGTGGAGACCAAGGGTTGCATTCAACTAAATCCTGAATTATTTAACCTATGTTAGTCATGCTCATTAAATTCAATGGATCTACTCTGAGTAGGACGAATATTGAATACCACCCGAAGCCTCTTCTAATTTGACATATAGCCTTGCCCACCTCCATCACACATGGAGGAAAGTGCAAAAGTTTTTCCATTTCCATGGGAGAGGGAGTACAAATCTTCTATTTCCCCCTCTCTCCTGTGATTCTCTATAACTTTGAACAGGATCAAAGAAGACATTTGCTATTGGGGGGGGGACATGATTTCTTTAACAATGATGAATGAGTCATAAACAACAGCTGCCATAAGTTATGTCTCCTGTAATTATCAAATTAATCATAATCACAGCTATATTTCCCCAACCCAGGAGAGTTCAAGTGGGCACATTCAAAATGTAAACTAAGGCTATAGAAATGCAAGGCTCTTTCATCTGGTTACTGATTCTTCAGTTCTGTGTTCTTCAAATCAGCTGCTGGAGTACTAATTTAAGGCAGGGACTCTTGCATTACAAAGAGATGAAGTGTCCTTTGCAGTAAAGAGTTTTCCTGCAAGATGTTAGTGTTTGTGATCTTACTATTAATACTGCTGCCTCTAACTACATGCAATATTCCTTTGGTTCAGTGCCCCACCAGTGACCCTCTTCCCATTCTTCACAAATATTATCAGTCAGGAGACCTCATGATTGCTGGCATCATGTCTCAGGTCTATACATTCATAAACAAGATAACATTCAAAGAACGTCCCTCTGCTAAACTCTTTGATGACCCGATGTAAGGAACTGTGTTTATTTAACAATATAATACATCCATATTAAATGAATTCATATTTTGCTGTTGGTGCAATCGGCTTTCCTTATAAGCAATTATTGTGCTTCTGCGTTTGATGTGCTTTTATCTGCGGCGGGGAAGTGGGGATCTGAGAGCTCGAGCCCATTTCTGCTAAGAGTGTCGACCATAGTCTTAAATTAATGTTCGTGAAGCAAGTCCAGTTTACCACATTTCCAACTTTAATAGTAGCAACGGCAGATGTATTTATTTTCTCTTGTGCATCATAGAATTTGTCCAACCTGCTATAATTTGGGTGCAGTTTGTAGGTGTGCTCACCTCCTCTAAGGAACAAGTTCTGTCATATTTCAGAATGATTGCTGCAGTGGTTCTCCTGCCTGAGGGGACTTGAGGTGGACACAATAGGAATTGTAGATCACCCTGAATTTGGAGTGAAAGGTGGTGTGAAGTATAATTGAAGCCTATTCTATGCATTTGAAATATTGCATGGAACTTGAGCAAGGCAAGAATCAGAAGAAAATTCTCTAGATTGAAATGTTTGAAGTATTTCATCATTATTTCAATAAATAATATGGGATTCTTATCTATATGTCCAGTTTTGTTTGTCAAGGGTACTCAAGCTCTAGTCTGTTCTCATCTGATGTATTTTCCCCTCATTAGAGAGATAAGTAGATATGTAGACAATGTCATTTGCTGTAGAAGATGCAAAATGAACCCCTCATTGCAGGCTCATGACACAACTCTACCAGCACATTGTGGCTTTGGTATTTGCTGTAAAGGAGATAAATGACAACCCACAGATCTTGCCCAATGTCACCCTGGGATTCCACATCTTGAACAGCCATTTCGTTGCAAGCTGGACCTATCATGGCTCCATGGAGCTGCTGTCTGGATGGGGCAGACTCATCCCCAACTATAAGTGTGGTGTTGAGAACAGTCCAGTAGCCATCATCGGGGGACCGAATTCTGACATCTGTCTCCACATGGCAACGGTCCTGAGTATCTACAAGATGCCACAGGTAAGAGAGCCATTGGAAAAGCCATTCACGTTTCTCCTGCACTGCATCCTTTCACGCTGTAGGTTGAGGGATTGACAGAGATGTGTGCATTGAGTGTGGCCATTTAGGATGCTATTCACATTTCTGTTGGATTCTATCCCTTGAGGCCCCAGGTTGATATTACAAAGTGTGAATGACTCACAATGAACAAAACTCATCCCTGCACATAATACACCAGAATATGAAGAACAACCATTCTGTCTTGAATTCTGCATGACATGTTTGATTTCGCAGTGCAGGGAAGGCTAATTCTCTCCTCTCCAATATTTAAGCATTCCAGCACAGAACCCATGATTGAGGTTCAGATGCAGTCCAGTCATCAAAAATCATCATTGCTTGATTGGGCTCAATGGCCTTTACAAATCCATTTTAATTCCCCCCTTCCAAATTCTTCATGGTTCAATCCTATCATGATGTGGAAAGAGGTGTCATATGGATTATTCAACAGAAACTAGTTATATTTGCTCTTTATTCTGTGTTCACGTGGCTGATACTGTTTGCTTATATGTTCTGATGGTGACATACGCATGGGAAATTTAAGGGAGAAGTGACCCCTGCTGTGCTTTTCCCTTTATTGAAAATATAGGGGAAGCAAAGACCTTAGACTCTATGTATGACTGAGCAAAAAATAAAATGTATGCAGTGGTACCTGTGGCTGTGAACTTAATTTGTTCCGGAGTTCTGCTCTTAACCGGAAACTGTTCTTAACATGAGGTACCATTTTAGCTAATGGGACCACCTGCCTTCGCCATGCCGCCAGCACACGATTTCTGTTCTCACCCTGGGGCAAAGTTCTTAACCCGAGGTACTACTTCTGGGTTAGCGGAGTCTGTAACCCGAAGTGTTTGTAAGCTGAGGTACCACTGTAAATTGAAGGAATTCTAGCCACTCCATATAGGGCCCCAATGTTCAACTTTTATGTATCTTTATTTTAAAAAAATTAAATTTTCTTTGTGTAGTCTCATCTGTATTCATTCACCATAAGAAGGTATATAAAAACACCAAAGTGGATCAAATTTGCAAGCATAATTTTTACAATCATTTTCAGTTTATCTATGGCTCTTCTCCTATGCTGAGTAACCACATCCAAGAAGAGTTCTTTCACCGAATGTTCCCTGATGTGGCTCATCAGTATAATGGGATTCTCCAGCTACTGCTGCATTTCAGCTGGATGTGGATTGGAGTGGTGACTCTGAGTGATGACAACGGAGAGAGATTTGTACAAAACGTCCTTCCCATGTTTGCCGGAAGAGGTATTTGCTGTGATTATACAGAAACATTTCCCAAACTAACCTTTTCAGGTGAGTCTATGGAAATGGTGGAAGAAGGTTCTAAAACAATCAGTGTTATTATGGGCAGCACCGCCAATGTCGTGGTTGTGATTGGTGAAATTCACACCATGATGGTATTGGGAATAATACCCAACTTGGCAGAAACAATGAATATGCCTGTGGAAATCAAGGCAAAAGTCTGGATTATGACAGCCCAGATGGATTTTACATCGTTTTCCTTTCAAAGAAATTGGGACATACGCTTTCTCCATGGTGCCATTTCGTTTGCCGTTCATTCAGCCAATCATCTAGGATTCCAGAAATTTCTTCAGAAGAGAAACCCTGTCACAGAAAGGGAGGATGGCTTCATCAGAACTTTCTGGGAAGAGGCATTTCTTTGTTCTTTTGAAAAGAAAGACAATGATCTCTGCACTGGGACAGAGAAGCTTGAGACTCTTCCTGGGTCTGTCTTTGAAAGGAGCATGACTGCCCACAGCTACAGCATCTACAATGCAGTCTTGGCAGTGGCACATGCTTTACAAAACATGCATTTCTCCAGATTCAAACACAGTGTAATGATGGATGAACTAAGAGGGACTAGGCTGGATCCACAGCCATGGCAGGTAATGTCCCTCTATTGCTAATATAGAATAGTTCGCCATCTTTCAGGGTGCAAAAATAGTTCCTTGACTGTTTAGAAAGCTCTTTTTCTTGTTGTTGTTTAGTCATTTAGTCGTGTCCGACTCTTCGTGACCCCCTGAACCAGAGCATGCCAGGCACTCCAGTCTTCCACTGCCTCCCGCAGTTTGGTCAAACTCATGTTGGTAGCTTCGAGAACACTGTCCAACCATCTCGTCCTCTGCCGTCCCCTTCTCTTTGTGCCCTCCATCTTTCCCAGCATCAGGGTCTTTTCCAGGGAGTCTTCTCTTCTCATGAGGTGCCCAAAGTATTGAAGCTTCAGCTTCAGAATCTGTCCTTCCAGTGAGCACTCAGGGCTGATTTCCTCCAGAATGGATAGGTTGGATCTTCTTGCAGTTCATGGGACTCTCAAGAGTCTCCTCCAGCACCATATTTTTTCTTTTTCTTCTTATCCTCATCTTTCAGCATAGATAGGACTGCTATCTGATAGGACTGCTATATCTTTCATTTTAAAACACTAGGGCCACATCTGCAACATTAAAGCACTCTTGTTTCACTTTAAGAGCCAAGGAATCTTACAAACGGTAGTTTCTTAATGGTCTCCTAACAACTCTCAATTCCTTTAAGCAACTTTCCTTTCCATAATTCTTTGGGGGAAACCATGACTATAACAAGAGATATTTAAATATATGGTGTGGATGAGCTGTTAGAATTACTGTGAACAGAATCCATGATCTCGACCTTGTGCAGAGTTGAATTGAATGTTCTCCGACCTCTGCTGCCTTCTGGGATATCTTCCAGAGAATAAAAGGCTAAAAAGTAAGCCCTACACAGATCCAAAGTGGAGTCTCTTAGGCGGATGGATGTTATTTTCTATGCTTCCTTCTGGCAACCCCTGAAACCAAGCTGGTGCCAAACGTCCTGCTCTGCTTTCCTTTCGACCACATCAGCAAGACTGAGAGGGGAGCCTTGTCCTCTGGGCAGCCCAGGACTGTCCAGGCTTGCACCCTGGGGAGGACACTTCAGTGCTGCTAACACAGCGGGTTCACCTCACCCCTGGAGCCACACTCCATTGTTCTCAAGACAAACAGATGCCAACAATTGGAGGGAAATAATATCATCCTGTTATACATCTGTCTCTTTCTAATACCCTCGTGGATTTCTTCCCTCTTCTCTTCACTAATTTAGCTCCACCACTTTCTGAGAGGCATCTCATTTAACAATAGTGCTGGGGAAGAGGTTTCATTCAGCCAGAAGGGGGATTTGGTAACTGAATTGGATATCATCAACTGGATCACATTCCCAAATGACTCCTTTTTCAGAGTTAAGGTCGGAATGATGAACCCCCAGGCTCCCCTAAGCAAGAGACTCTCCATTCATGATGATACCATCACATGGCCCATGAGGTTCAACCAGGTAAGGTCCGTTTCAGAGTGTCCCCAGACATTTCCTCAATGCTAAAAAAGGGGGGTCCACTATTCAAACTCTGAAACAGCTATTCCAAGATGCAACTAGTTGTGATTTAACTCACGTCCTGAAGAAGAGGGGGACCAACATGCAGCTGAAAACAGCACAGGCAGTGGAAAGCTTAAAATGGCAAAATGTGATATAGAAAGAAGTTGGATAGGTGGGCTTATTTATAACTGAATTTTAAAAAGAAAACAAAGTACAGAAGAACCTCATCACTGTTCTTCATTTTTTCCCCAAACATTGCTGTAGCATAACATAACAATACCTTGTTTGGACCGCTGAGATTCTCAGATAATGTTCAAAGGAGCCCACAGCTAAAAAACCTACATGGTTAGGAAGCGACAAAGCAAATTTCATCACCTAAAGTCTGAAATTGTGAGAAGAAAGCAAGACACACAAAACCAGGAAACTTTGGCAACTTATGTATTTATTCAATATAAAATCAATCAGTAAAAATAAGTAAATGAAGAGCAGAAGCACCCCAGAACCTAAGGGTGAGGTGTGAGCCAAAGTTCTTAAAGGCCCCATAAAAGTGTGTTCAGGGTATTTGTGGCCTGCTCAGTGTTCAGCAGGGGACATTCAGTATCAGACAGTGGGAGGGCAATTGCTGTGAAGCAAACAACAGAAGAACCAAGGGCAGCAGCTCCTTGGGATGTGAATGGTCATCCTGATCTGATTGGCACTTCAGACTTCCTGCCAGTGTGGGAAACAGGGAAGTAAATTTGGCCCAATCTGAAGAACAGGTGCGGCATGTTTAAGTCAGAAATTACCATCTTCTTTCCTTTTTGGACAGGCACAACCCCTTTCTCTGTGTAATGAGAATTGCCAATTGGGCTACAGTCGGACCAAGAAGGAAGGGAAGCTGCCTTGCTGCTATGATTGCATCCCGTGTCCAGAAGGGAAGATTTCAGATCAGAAGGGTCAGAGATTTTTTATTTATTTTTGGGGTATACTAGTTACAAGAATTGTCAAGAATGATCCAGTACATGAAAATTAAAATAAGTAGAGAAGGATGGTAAGAGAACGGTGTCCAAAGATACCAGTAAGATGTACCTGTTTTGGAGCATAGTCTCATATGCTCATGGAATGCAGAGGTAAGGATTTCAGCATAGCAGGAGATGATGGAAACAGGGAGAACTTATGATTGGTGATATCCAGGTGATGAACTTCTCTTCTTCCAATTGTAGTGAAGACCTGCATTGCTCTGGAATCCTAAGTAAATACAGCCCTCTTGTATATAGAAATAATTGGGCCAAACACCTATATATATTTTACCAGTACTGATCCAGCAGCCATCATTCAAGGCTTTCTGGCCATTTGCCTTGATTTCTTCTGGGTGCAAAAGGCTTCACAAGTATAGTATAGCATTTTTCTTTTTTCTTTTTCAGACATGGACGACTGTTTTGAATGCTCTGAAGATCAGTATCCAAACAGTGACAAGGATGGATGCCTTCCAAAAGATAAAACTTTCTTGTCTTATGGAGAACCGTTGGGGATCAGTCTGGCCACTTTTGCTGTCTGCTTTTCTTCCATCACAGCTGCAGTGCTTGGAATATTCATGAAACACAAGGCGACTCCCTTAGTCAAAGCCAACAACAGGAACCTCACCTACGCTCTCCTGCTCTCTCTTCTCCTCTCCTTCCTTTGTGCTTTGCTCTTCATTGGCCAACCTAACAAGCTGACATGCATCCTACGACAAACTGCTTTTGGCATGATCTTCTCAGTTGCCATTTCGTGCATATTGTCCAAAACCGCCATTGTGGTTCTGGCTTTCATGGCTACCAAGCCTGGCTCCAGCATGAGGAAGTGGCTGGGGAAACAATTGGCCGGATCCATTGTTCTTTCCTGCTCTCTTATTCAAGCCACAATCTGTAGCATATGGCTGGCAACTTCTCCTCCTTTTCCAGACGTTGACATGCACTCAATGACTGAAGAAATAATACTAGAATGTAATGAAGGCTCCACTCTTATGTTTTATTGTGTCCTGGGATTCATGGGTTGGCTGGCCATTGTGAGCTTCACGGTGGCTTTCCTAGCTAGAAAGTTGCCTGACAGTTTCAATGAAGCCAAATTTATCACTTTCAGCATGTTGGTGTTTTGCAGTGTGTGGTTGTCCTTTGTTCCAACCTACTTGAGCACCAAGGGCAAATATATGGTGGCTGTGGAGATCTTCTCCATCTTGGCCTCCAGTTTTGGGTTACTGGTTTGCATCTTTACCCCCAAATGCTATGTTATTTTACTGAGGCCTAAGCTGAACAGCAGGGAGCAGTTAATTAGAATAAAGAATTAAGAACTGACAAGAGGGACTCACTGGTCCAGGCAATTCTTTGTCACTGGAAATTAGAGATACTTTTTTCCAGATTCATTGGCAGTTAGATATGTATTAATTGAAAACATGAACTTGTGTGGCGAGTTCCCACCTCCCCCCGAGGAAATAAAGACACAGGACACAAGAATTCAGGTTAATGGGTCATATTAGGCCACAACTTTATTGATTACAGGAATTGAGCAGTATTGGCTTAGGCATTGCTCCTACTACTAACCGGCTTGAAAGCTGGAAGGGTTAACCACCAGTGGGAGGAGTCCTGCTGAGGCACGTCAACTAGGACCTCCCCCCAGATTCACCGCATGGGGCGTGCTGAGGGCCCACACCTCCTTAGGCTTAGGACAAGGCCACGCCCCCCGGAATCCTTTACCGGACTACCCTTGTTTGGGGGAAGGTGATGGTGCTCCTTCCCCCCTTCATTTGCATAACAATAGGACTGTACCCCCACCAATGCCTCACCGCCAATACCAAAGAGTTGTGACGATTTGCTACGAGGTAGGTGAAAACCAAATGGCTGGTGCCAATCTGCCATTTGGGAAAATTCCTACCAGGCCCCTTGACGGCGACCACCGGAGTTTATAGCAACGTCAGAGAACCTAGTCTAATGAGGGTGGGATGGGAGGGGAAAAACTGGGACAGCTGTAGGAAAGGAAAGAGGAGGGGCCTCGGCTGGAGCAGGTTTAAATAGCCGAGGCCCCACCCCCGGAGCCAGCCGACTGGCTGGCCCAGGGAATGATGTGCCCAGGGATTCCCTTAGCTATCGCGGGGGCTGGAGCCAGCCCCCGCGAGTGTGGGGGAGGGGCGTGAAGCCCGCAACCCCACCTCCTTTGTTATCGCGGAAGTGGCATTAATATAAACTGAGTCCCATATTTTCTGCAGTTTTGTCCTGGTTCATCATATCTCAATCAACCATGATTTATCCACACACATGGCATCTCATTCGTTTCCACTACTCTCCATGGTCTTGACACCAATGTAATCATGTGAAACTGTGAAACCAGAAGGGGCATTTTGTGAGGTTATTAACTGGCATATAATTTCGCAGCGCACCCTCAATTATCTACACACCCAATATTCCACATCACAATATAAAATCCCCTTTGCCTGCTGATAATAGTTGTTCAATAGTTCTGTTAGATTTACTTGAGTGGATTGGGAAGAGTGATAAGGGATGCAAACTCATCCATTGGATAATAACATTTTGACCCTGCCTTAATATATTAAAATTCATTCAGAAATTTTGCAAATATGCATGGGAACAGATATATTTAACTCATAATAAATATCTTGCCATCCCAATCAGGAGAATCTTGCTGAGATCTGAACAAAAAGCAACTTCTTTTCTTTTGTAGAGTACTACAGTACATGAGTTCATCTAAGCACCAAAGGGAAAAACCTGGTGGCTGTGGAGATCTTCTCCATATTTGCCTCCAGTGCTGGGATACTGAGCTGTATCTTTTCCCCTAAATGTTTCTTAGTTATCTTGTGGCCAGAACTGAATAATAAGAAGCAAGCCAAGATCGAATCATGTAGTACCTCTGAAGTAGAAACCCAGTCCTTCAGAATGAGTGAGATCTCTTCCAGAACAGGCTGCCTATCTCATTCCTGGACATAGGAACAAGCAAACCACAGCTACTTCTGTCTTCTCAGTTTTTGGCTTCAGCCTATTGGCTTTCATTGAGCCCATTATGATACTCGCAGACACTGAGGGATTTTTCTGTACACAACACCCTTCCTAACCCTGATGAGACCTCTCTGTCCTTTTTAAATCATTTTCATTTGTGGCCCTAGTGAAACAGTGCTGGTGAAGATTTTCCCATATACATCAAGAAGAATGCCATGCATAGAACGGCTCAGAAATTGCTGCAGTGATGTGTGGTATCTGAAGGGGAGCTGCATTCCCTATGGGTTGTACACAACTAAGTTCGATTTAGAGTGACTCCATTGAAGACAATGCACCAATGTTGATCATATTCACCATCTAAAATAGGTCTAGTGGGGCTAGCAGTGTGTCCAAGCCCATTCTCCCCACATCTGGATATAGTTTGGAATAGTCTCCCTGTTCCCAAAACCCACAAAGAAGTGCTGCACAGCATAGGTTGTCCATTCAATATTGCAGGGGGCACAGAATGTAGAATTGAATTAGCAGAGAAAGCATTAATTTTTGCAAATAAGTGATTAAAAATGAATTATTTTATTATTATTTTTCTCACATAGGATATTCATCACTAAGAATTATTATTTTTATATTGATGTTTAATGTTTTGTCCTAAGGGCGGGGGGATGAATTGTAGTACTGGCATTTTTATCCCAAGCATGCTCTGCTTCCTCATAGATTCAATATTTGGAGTCCTTGTAGCTCAGCCTAAATCCCCCTAAATCTAGCATGCTGGTGCAGCTAGAAGGGATCAGGCAGATCTGCTGAATTGTGAAGTTCTGAGACCTTAGAGAGTAATTCTTTCTAATAGTGTGAGCTGTTTCATAAGGTGGTCTTGCATGCTAGTAGAACCCCCTTCATTAAAAGTTTCTAAGCAGATGATGGATAGCCAGCTTTGCAGGACCGTGTGGCAGAGTTGGACTAGATTATCTTTTAGGTAAAATTCCATGGTCTGACAAATATTTTTCTGGCAGGAGTTTTGCTCCTGTTGATGCATAATAGTATCCAAAAACACTGCAGAATCATTATCTACTCTGCAATTATCAAAATGTCTATAATCTGCCCAGAGTGCCAGTAGCCTTCTAGAAGTGTGTACGAAAAGGTATTGATAAAAAGACTGAAATGATGATAAGGAAACCCAATGTTCCACAGACAACTAAGATTAGGGGGAAGAGAGAGGCAGTTCTCTATCATTTGGATAATTCCTCCACCCACCCCCCTGTATAGGGCAAGTCTGAATTTTGTGTTTTCAATTAGAATTCAAGACACACCTCTGAAAAACTGCTGAGCTTAATGGTTAGGCAAAGGTAGTAAGTCCATGTGAGAATTACATTCCCAGAGTCTTCAGCAATCTAAACCATCTTTCAATCAGGGCAGTGGCTTGTTTTATACACACAGAGAGAGGAATTTGCACATGTATTGGGATGCTGCTGCTTCTGATTCTGCTGCTTCCAAACATGGTGTGCTATGTGCATGCTGTTAAGTGCACCAGAAATAATCCCGAAGATGTTCCACATGAGTGGCACCAGTCGGGTGATTTCCTCATCAGTGGGATAGTGTCTCAGCTGTCAAATCCTGTGTTCTCCAAAGTTTCCTTCAACCAATACCCTCCTCAACACTCCCTGATTAAGTTCCCACTGTAAGCAAATGTTTTTATTTTTAATTGAGAAGTTCTGTATATCTGCATGAATAATTGCTTTTTTAATTTGGTTTTTAAAAGAAATATTAAAGGTTGAGAAAAGGACATTCTCCAACATATGTGTAATTAGGCTGTGCTTGTACTGGTAATTGGACATTTGGAAATATTAGCCTTGTATTATCTATTTGCTCTCTGGTACATAGGTGCTCAGTCTGTCCATTTTAGAAGGGGACTGTGAGGAAGCTTTCCATTGCACCAATATTTCCACCCATTCAAACATATTTGTCCACATAATTTTGGAGAGATGACAAATTGGAGCCACATCTCATGCTTCAAGAAAGAGGATGATAGAAAGCTGCCTTAAATTGAGTCAAACCAATGGTCAATCTATTAATTATTCTCTGTAGCCAAATGAAATTTGAAAGAAGAAACATAGCCCGCAAGAATACTGCTGCAATTCTATATACATTACGTGAGCATAAGCTTTGCTGTAAATAGTGGGACTTATGTATGAGTAAACATGCATAGGATTGGGCAGTGATTGGGAGGTTTCAGAATGAGTGACTGGTATGTGTGGGAGTGGGAGATCAGGAAAGGAAAAGTTGATGGAGGGAGGGAAGGAGGAAGAAGGGGACTGTCCTTACCTGTCACAGTCCCTTCTGTCTCCTTCACCCACTAAATACCTCTCAGGACAGTCCATCCTACCCTGTTAAATGCTTTTTAGCCTTCTTACTCTTCTATACGTGCCCAAAAGTACAGGAAGGGGAATGAAAATATCACATATCATGGGGAAGAAAGAAGACAGTCTCAGAAAGTCTCAGCCCCCCAGGGGAGAAGCTGCTGCAGACTCCACAACTGGCTTTCCTGAATAGGGAGATGTGGACTGGTTTCATCCTGCACAGCATTTGATAGGAATGGGTGTGAGGCCCTCAGCCCAAAGTTCTTATTTCACTCATTGGCAGGGACTTAGTGCATCCAAGCTAGGCTAGCTCATTGCACAGAAATTGTGGTGGAAGCACAAGTCTAAAACCACTGAGAGCCAGTGTGGTGTAGTGGCGAGTGTCTGACTGAGACATGGGAGACCAAGGTTTGAATCTCCACTGGGTGACCTTGGGCCAGTGCCTGCCTCTCAGCCTAACCTACATCCCTGGGCTGTTGTAGGGATTAACTGGAGAAGGGATTTTGAGCTCCTTGGGGGGGGGAGAGTGAGATATAGATTGTTGTGGCTATAAGACCATGAGACAATCTTTTGAAGCACAAGCCTTGATTCCACCATGAAACAGCAAGTCCCTTTATCTGCAGCATGGTGACCAAGTTCTACCAACACATCCTTGCCCTGGTGTTTGCTGTTGATGAGATCAATGAGAATCCCAGGATCTTGCCCAATGTCACCCTCGGGTTCCACATCTACGACAGCTATACTGATTCAAGGAGGACTTATCGCACCACTTTGGACCTGCTCTTTAAATCACACCAGTTTGTCCCTAACTACAAATGTGGCACCCAGGAAAATGTAATAGGAGTAATTGGAGGACTTAGTTCTGATACTTCGTCCTGCATGGCAGATATCTTGGGTCTTTTCAAGATTCCACAGGTAGGATCTGAGTACTGGAGCTCAGAGGCTTTCCTCTCACCTCCCCCATAATTCACTCTTCTACTCTTTCCAGC